AAATCGTTGAGAAAAAAAAATACATTTTAAGATCTGTAAATGCCAACATCTTTTCTGCCTTAGGGACATAAATCTATATCGAGATCCAGAGCCAAAATAAGTAGGAATTTAAATCGAATGGGCTTGCACACCTAATGACCCCCTTCAAGGGTAGAAATATTTAATGATAGCTTAGTTTGTGGAAACCCCAGCGACCAGGTTCCAAACAGTCTCAGCTGGGAAACCCAAGTCTTTTTTGTTTGGAAATTCTCGATGATAGGTTTTCAAAGCAGCTGATAAAACAGTTAATTATAGTGAGGTGTTTGGCTTCTCTGTAACATACACTTTCACCTGGTCTATGATTGGAGCTTCTTGTCATGTACTCTGAGCAAGGCCAGCTAATGCTACTGTACATTTTTTTTCCCTTTTGGAGAGCGGTTTCTTAAATTACCGCATAAGTAGAACTTCAGATAAAAACACGATGTCTAGCGTGAGAGCGTTCAATAGAGCCCCTCTGACCTCCTCTACCACTTCTCTTTCTCTGACTCATTTCACTTTAGTTATGCTGTCCTTGTACAGCCTGGCACAACCTCAGCACAAACCCACTAGATTTTCCTACTGCTCAGTAGCTCTCAAATTTTAGTGAACACCAGAATCCTCCAGTGAAGGATTGCTGGGCCTTCCGGAGTTTCAGAGGGGGCCTGAAAATGTGTATTTCCAACAGGTTCCCAGATTATGTTAAAGCTGCTTATCTTGATGGGGAATCACATTCTGAGAACTATTACTCTAGCAATTCCTTCTGCCTGAAGCTCCTTCTCCATATATCTGCTTGACTCACTCCTTCACCTCCTTCAAGCCTTTCTTACATGTTATCATCTCAGTGAAGCCCAGCTTAACCACCCTATTTTATATAGCCACCTAATATCTCGAACTCCTGGTGCTTTGGATCACCCTACCCTACTGTAGTATTTTTTTTTCTATTGAACTCATAACCTTCTAACATTCTGTATAATTTATTTATGATATTTAGTGGTAGTCTCTCCCACTAGCATATAGGCTCCTCACCTTTTAATTTGTCCAGTGATGCATCCCTAGCACTTAAGAGTTGTGCCTGGCACATAGTAGGTGCTCAATGAATATTTTTTGCATGCATAATTCAATGCTTAATGCTTCTGTAAATTACAAGGGCAAAAATTCTAATTTCTTCACAGGCTTCAAAGGAGACTTTTTTCTTGCCTGTGTTCCTATTTTCACACAAATTTCTTTATATAAAATGTCTCCTCTCAATTGCTTCACCTTAAATCTATCTATCCTTTAAGTCAGATCATTCTCTTTTAATTCCTTTATTCTTCAATGGTAGTTCAGCTGCTTCTGACCATTCTCGTTGGTTCCCTGGGAATCATTTTGGGATCCCTGCTTATAAAGCCTCTGAGCACAGAGATCATGTTCTGAATAAATGGTCAAATAGTAGGATCTGAATAAATGCATGTTGGGTAATTGAACATTCTTTTCATAGTAATATCAAGAGTGTTTCATATAAGAATAGCTATTATATTCACTAAATAAAAATTGATAATTTGCAAGTTCCTTTCACATTAAATTCTTTTCACCTTCATAAGAACTGTTTAGGTGAGGTGGCAAAGGAATTATGTTCATATTATTTCTGGGGTAAATAAATTTAGGTTAATTTAGATAACAGCCACTTCATCAAGATTAAATGACAAAGTCATGGAATTTTCTGGCACAAAGCTGGAACTCGAGATAGGTTAGTTTCCCTTCTCTAAGAGATCTTAGAAAAGCCTGTTAGATAAATGCGTATGTATTGTGTGTGTTCCTACAATGTCCAAAGAGCTTATGACAAATCTTCAGTTCTGTGTCTCTGAATCTGAAGCTACAATTCTGTGAAATATTGTTTAGTCTCATTTACTAACAAAGTTAACAGATTTAGAAAAGTTAAGTACCTTGCACAAAGTCACCCAAGCAAGTGATGGAGTCAGAATTTGAACTCGGCTCCAAAATCACGATTTTTTCACTTCTGCAGTGCACAGTGCCTCCTTGATGGCATGGAACTCATATCCTTTGATTCATAGTCTGAGGCTCTTCTGTGTATACCAGCCAGTAATTGTTATGCTAACCTTGTGCTAATTGCCTGAAAAATATTAATGTTGATTCTCTTGATTCTGCTACAGGGCAGCGAGTCAATAGATCCTGCCAGATACTTTTTTCTCCTTTGGGTTTTACATACACAGAATCATAAAAAGCTAGAGCTGAAAAGGACGTCAGAAGTCATTAGTCCTACCCTTTTGTTTCAAGAATCAGAAAAATAAGGTCCATAAAGTATAAAAGATTTGCTTAAAATGAAAGCTACGGACGGGAGAAACCAAGGTATGATTTGCTCTCTGTGCAAACTTTATTTCATGGAGTGCCTTTGTGCAGCTTTTGAGTCAAGCTGGACATCAAGGTTTGGGGTTATATGTAAAGCTGCTGGGCAATGCTGGTGTTGTCAGGTAGCAACGGAAGCCTGGCCCCTCCTCCTTTGGTGGCTGCGGCTGCTGCTCCTCCAGTCTCCTATTGTAATCACTGTGTGATGGTGCATTGAGCCATATCTGCATCATAGGACAGTACTGACGCCTGGAGAAATTATGAATAGAAGCAGCCAAGACACACGCATTTGATGCAGCACCCAGAGGCCCAAGCTCAGAGGGACAGAAGGTAACAAGGGACAGACCAAACACTGAGAATCTGAGCAGCTCCGTCTGCAGTAAGAGGCTGATGTACCATTGGTGTGTGCAAGATGTGAGACCACCGGCGTCCTCCTTCCCATTTGCTACAAGTGGACAGGGCCATGGAATCTGGTCCATGTGGACCACAGTGCTTGGGACATTCCTATTAAGCAGATCATACGACACTGACTGTGCTAGAGGCTGATGTTTGACCTAAACCTTTGTAAAGACGTTGAAACGGAGGTAGTGGGGCCCCTTTCAGACCAAGTCTTGGTGTTAGGAACAGGGCAAATGCCTAATTTGCCAAAAAATCTGGCCCTTCTGCCTACTCATGTTTAAAATCCTGGAAAGGCTTCTGGCAAATTCCTTGAATGGTTCTCTACCTGATTCTGACTTTAATATTCAGTGTAATCTTGGGAGCAGTTTTAAAAGCAGTACTTGCTTCACTCCCACCATCTCATCAACGCTTCTGTGTAACCTTGATCACTTCAATTAAATGGGGTTAAAAGCAGCTGCTGCTCTTCACTGTAATGTATCAATATTTCAATTTGGAGCTTTGGGTCTTGTCAGACATCACCAGTACACAGAGTAGAAGCTCAATAAATATTTGTTAAATAACTTTGAAAGCGATTTCCTTATTTGAAATGAAAGCTGATCAAAAGTATGAATTTTTTTTTCTTTTTTTGAGACAGGGTCTCACTTAAAGGCTGAATTGCAGTGGCATGATCTTGGCTCACTACAACCTCTGCCTCCCGGGCTCAAGCCAACCTCCTGCCTCAGTGTCCCAGGTAGCTGGGACCAGCCCCCCACCTTTTTGTATGTAGAGTTGGGATGGGGTGTTACCATGTTGCCCAGGCTGGTCTCAAACTCCTGAGCCCAAGTGATCTGCCTCCCAAAGCGCTGAACCTTTTTTTTTTTTTTTTGAGACAGAGTTTTGCTCTTGTTGCCCAGGCTGGAGTGAAATGGTGCGATCACGGCTCACTGCAAACTCCACCTCCCAGGTGCATGCGATTCTCATGCCTCAGCCTCCCAAGTAGCTGGGATTACAGGTGCCTGCCACCACACCAGGCTAATTTTTGTATTTTTTGTAGAGACGGGGTTTCTCCATGTTGATCAGTTTGGTCTCGAACTCCCAACCTCAGATGATCTGTGTGCCTTGGCTTCCCAAAGTGCTGGGATTACAGGCATGAGCCACTGTGCCCACCCCCCCACCTTTTTTTTAATCCTGTGAAAGGAAAATAAATTTTGGGACTCCAAAATCACTAAGCCAAAGGGAAAAAGACAAGCTGGGAACTACTTAGAGCAAACTTGCCTCCCATTCTATTTCTAAAAAAGATAGCTACTGGCCGGGCGTGGTGGCTCACGCCTGTAATCCCAGCACTTTGGGAGGCCGAGGCGGGTGGATCACGAGGTCAAGAGATCGAGACCATCCTGGTCAACATGGTGAAACCCCGTCTCTACTAAAAATACAAAAAATTAGCTGGGCATGGTGGCGCGTCCCTGTAATCCCAGCTACTCAGGAGACTGAGGCAGGAGATTTGCCTGAACCCAGGAGGCGGAGGTTGCGGTGAGCCGAGATCGTGCCATTGCACTCCAGCCTGGGTAACAAGAGCGAAACTCCATCTCAAAAAAAAAAAAAAAAAAAAAAGATAGCTATTAAGACTTAAAAAAAGCTACATACCTTCCTTACAATTTGTTCACAAGGAAATTCCTTGTAGACAAAGAGCAGATAGAACTCAAAGCCATCCCTCTACTCATGTGAGACAAATGCATATCTGATTGCTTTCTTTGCCCTACTGTTTCACTAAACCAGACTAAGACATAAGTGACTATTCCTGTAAATCACGTATTCAGTGAAATGCTAATCAGAAACTCAAAAAGAATGCAACCATTTGTCTTTTATCTGCCTATGACCTGGAGGCCTCCACCCTGCTTCAAGTTGTTCCGCTTTTCCAGACCAAACCAATATTCATCTTACATGTGTTGATTGATGTCTCATGTTCCCTAAAATGTATAAAACCAAGCTGTGTCCCGACCACTTTGGGCACATGTCAGGACCTCCTGAGTCTGTGTCATGGGTGTGTCCTTTTGATTGAGACTTATCTCAGATACTCTCAGTTGACAGTCCTTTAAAACTTCATTTCTTGGCTGGGCACAGTGGTTCACGCCTGTAATCCCAGCACTATGGGAGGCCGAGGCAGGAGTATTGATTGAGCTCAAGAGTTTGAGACCGGGCTGGAGAACACGGCAAAACCCTGTCTGTACAAAAGAAATACAAAAATTAGCCGGATGTGATGGTGCATGCTTATAGTCCCAGCTACTTGGGAGGTTGAGGTGGGAGGGTCACTTGAGCTCAGGAGGTTGAGGCTGCAGTGAGCCATAGCACTGCCTGGGCAACAGAGCAAGATCCTGTCTCAAGAAAAAAAAAAAAGGTTGGTTTCTTGTGCTCACTTTGCTCAGTGCTGAGCATGTAATAGTCAGCACGTATTTGATGGCTAAATGAATAAATTACAGGAACAGAGGAAGTAGGCATGATTTACAGCCCTGTTCTTATGGGTTTGTATTCCCACGCTGTGTTCTCCCTCTCCACCTCGGGAGCTCAAACCATTACACGCATATTCAACACACACCCTCTGCTATCCACCCCAGGCCCTGGCACCAGTGAGGGCCACCTGAGTACTTTTTCTGTGTGGATTCACTCAGGAATAGAACTCTGCCAAATAATTACTTTCCAGGAAACATACGACTCTGTTCTGTTTCTGTAATGCAGCCAACAAGACTGATGTGCCAGCAAGCTACGTGCAAAGATGGATCTCACTCGTTCATGCCACTGTATCAGAAAACTCTACCATCGGGCTGTTTGCCCATTAATTAAATTGCCTGGTGAGCATGGAAGGATGGAGAAAGGATCGGGACAAGCTGTTTATTCCTATGTTTAAGTGAATTTTTATTAAACTTTGAAAGGGAATTGTGATTTTTTTTTTTCTTCCCTGAGTTGAAACCATTTTATGAGCACATACAGGAAAATAATGTGATTATGTGATTTCCTTTTTCTATTGAATTATTTGTACTGCTATTTGTTGTTTGGTTATCTTCATTAAACAATGACCTTCCTGCAAAATAAAAGCTGGGTCCTATTTCAGCATGATAAGAGGAAAGAGCACTGACCAAAGAATCAGAGAACCTACCCCTTCGGAGCCATCTGAGGTTTAAACATTGATTCAACCTTCCCAAGCCAAGGTGTCTGTTCTGAAGCAGGTGATCACCGTGGCTGCCCTGCCTACATCCTTCTGAGAAATAGTACTCCAGAATGCCCCTTCAAAACTGGTACGCATGCATTGTAGTATTTTTCAAAATGTTAAGAATGCAACCCTTTGTTTCTTTTTAAAGAAACTGCAGAGATTGGTAATGACCGTTTTATTATAAGAGGGACCAGAAACCAGGTCAACCACCTAAGAGAGAAGGCAGGCAGGAAAAATGGCGATGGGAAGGGACAAAGGCACTAGACTGCCCCCAAGTGGCGACTTGGGCATGATGTCTTGAAAGGAGTGGGAGGGATGACCCCTCTAGGGTGACTGTAATGAACAAAGGAAACAATCTAAGAAGAGGTCATACTCATTTCTCATAAGAGCATTTAAATACCATCGGAAAAAGCAGACAATAATAACATATTTCACGCAAATTGTGCTCCAACTCACTGGCTTCCCTTTTAAGGCCTGCCACTTTATAATCAATTCGCTGCTCCAGTGAACACAATGAAGTGTTCAGACTCCATTAAGAAATCTCAAAGAAAACAAACCTTGGGCCTTTCGAGTTAGCAGGACAGCTCTTTAAATGCTTCTCACAAGCTGTCATTTGTGCGTTCAGAAAACCATTAGGACTTCCTCCTTTGGAAATACGTGTGATTCTTCAGCTTCTCATTTGAAACATGAATATTTTCTTACTGTGACCCTTATCCTCAAGAACCAATTTCCTATGCTTCACCAGACAATGCAATGAGTTTCCGAGATGCTGGGATGTGAAGTGGCTTGGTAACAGTGAAGCGGCATATCTGATGGGAGGAAAACAGGAGTTAGGAGTTGGCAAAGTGGGTAGCATATATATCCTGAATACTTAGAAATGCGGTAGGGTATACCAGGCTTTGGGAGAGCCTTGTGGCTGAGAAGGGTGCTTGCCAATCGTGATGAAGATACCCGGAGACCAGATGGATTTACAGTGGAAAACATCTCCTCTTCCCTCCTAACGCTGTCAAGAAATGGGACTTGGGCAGACCTCTGGAGAGGCATCATGAAGTGGCTGGCAGAATCATGCAAACTCAGCGCAATGTCTTAGATTTGACCCCCAGTTCTATCTCTAGCTGCATGAGCTGGGAAGCCAGAGAGCGGTGTCTTCAGTAGCCCCAAGAGCAAAATCCCAGGTAATTCCTATCAGATTCCATAATCTCCTATTTAACAAGACTAATATCCTTCTTTTTACTCAACAAACCTGGTTTGACTAAGTTCATGAATTGGATGTGCCTTCTCGGTTCTCCCTGTAAAGGAAAACATACATATGGGTAGCTGTGAAGAGTGTGGGCTCTGGAGCTAGACTCCCAGAGTTCAAATGCCAGCCCCACCACTTAGTAGGCAGCCACTTACTGTCGCAGTTTCTTCATCTGCAAACTGAGAATAACAATAATTTCTAGCCCAGGAGGTTGTTGTGAGGATTTAATGCAATAATACATACATGTGTACATACATATGCACACACACATACGTACTTCTTAACACACTACCTGGCACAGAGTAATACTGAATAAATTGTAGCTATACTATAATAATAATTTTTATCTTGATATTTGAAACGATATGATTCCTGGTCAAGTTGAGGAAAATTGGGATGTCAAAGATATCCTTTATATAAATATTTAAGTCGAAAGTTCTTTCATAGAGTATTGGACCTTCATATCTTCCTTTAAAAAAATGAAATTAGTTGCATTTATTTTTTGAACACCTCCTAGGTTCAAGCAATTATCTGCCTCAGCCTCCCCAGTGGCTGGAGTTACAGGCGCCCGTCACCATGCCTGGCTAATTTTTTGTATTTTTAGTAGAGATGGGGTTTCATTATTTTGGCCAGGCTGGTCTTGAACTCCTGACCTCATGATGCCCCCACCTCGGCCTCCCAAAGTGCTGGGATTACAGGCATGAGCCACTGCAGCCGGCCTCTTACTTACAGTTTTACAAGCAGCATTTTTTCACTCAACAATGTTGTGTGAACATTGTGAAATTCGTTCTTTGAAAACATGATGTTGAATTTCTGCACACATTCTACTGATGAATATGTAATCGTTTAACCAATGCTGTATTATTGAATGCTTAGATTGTTTCCAGTATTTTCCTATTATAAATTATAATGCATATTTCTTCATCTCAGTAGAGAAAGTTATGAACCTTTTATGACTTTTGGTTCATGTTGCCAGATTTCCCACTAGAGTAATGGTACCAATTTACATTCCTCTAGTAGTATTTGAGTATTGAGTATTGACATTTTTGAATGTCGATTTCTCCGAATATTATAAAAATGTTTAGCCTGGGCAACATAGAAAGACCTTGTCTCTACAAAATTGTTTTTCAAAATTAGCTGGGCATGGTGATGCACCTGTAGTCCTAGCTACGCAGGAGGCTGAGGGTGGGAGAGGACTGCTTGAGCCGGAGAGTTTGAGGCTTCAGTGAGTCATGATTGCACCACTACACTTCAGCCTGGGTAATAGAGCAAGGCTCTCTCTTAAAAAAAAAACCAAAAACTCGGGCTTGTAATCCCAGCATTTAGGGAGGGTGAGGCGGGCAGCTGGCTTGAGCCCACAAGTTAGAGACCAGCCTGGGCAGCATGGCAAAACCCTATCTCTACAAAAAATACAAAACTTAGCCAGGCATGGTGATATGGGTCTTTAGACCCAGGTAGTTGGAAGGCTGAGGTGGGAGGTTCCATTGAGCACAGGAAGTCAAGGCTGTAATAAGCAGAGATCGTTCCACTGCACTCCAGCCTAGCCAAAAAATGGAGACACTGCTTTTTTTTAAAAAAAGAATCAAGACTTTAGGCTTCTGGTGGATATGAGATTCCAGCAGCAAAACATGGGCGATGAGTAGAGAAAGTGGCTCTTTGGTTAAACCCTGCCCTCCTGCTATTGCTACATGGTGTTTCCTTACAGTACAGAGTCAAAAGGGAATTTCTGGGATTGCTTTGTCTCTCGGCTTGTTAGGAGTGCAGCAAATGGGACCCCACAACTCTGTAAGAATCAGGCTCTCTGGTAGGGAATGGTCAGGACTGCCAATCAGGAAACCTGAGTTTCCTGCAAATGGGCAAAGGCATTTTAAGTAATATTGAAAAGTAGCCAAGAAATAATATTCCATTTAGTCAGATTGAGGTCACAGTTGCCAACGTATTAAGATCCACTATTATTAATGATTTTGCCTCAAATGAAAATGAGTTAGAAATCCCGCTCTTTGAGGGTAAGCTCTAAGTGGGGATTGAGCAATTGGGATTTAGGGTGCCTCACGCTTTAGGTAGCAAGGCCAGTTATTGGGAGATGGTCGTATTGACTTTGCCTTGAAGGGTTCTCTCTTTGCCTGAATATCAGATCATAGCCTTCTTAGAAAAGTGCTCAGTGACATTTTATTGATCAGCCTTCAAAAAGGAGCACAGCAGTGGGGAGGAGCAGGGGGGCCAGTCTCCCTCCATCCTCTGGGCTGGGCCGAAGCGCTGACACATTCACAGGGTGATGGAGACTTGCCAAAACGCTCTGTTCACCTGGGAGGGTCCTCGTGTACCTGCCTACAATTCCGAAGATACTAAGTCTGACTGCCAGACTTAGTATCCAGACTTAGTTGACCAGACTTCTCCTGGTCAACTCCTCTCAACGTTCTTTTCTCCTCCCTCCCTGACATCCTCCCTCCCTGACATCCTCCCCTCAACACCTCCCCACTCCACCACCCCCATCTGACTTGCTGGGACACCTATTTCCTTATCTTATCTGAAAAAAAAATTATTATATTGTCAAAGAAATCAAGCTGTGTTCAGCTGGTGCACTGGAGGGGTAGCAGAAAAAGCCCTTTGTCCCCACACAGAAGGCACTTAGGAAAATCCCACCCCATTATCTTCCAGGTAATTTGTCCTTTAAGTACTTTTCTTTCATGGAGGAAATTCCAAGTGACAGTAAAAAGAGAAATAGTTCATTTGGAAGACACAATGTAACAGTATTTTCTTAGCGTATTAAATAAGGATCCTCTAATTGCGCTCTTTAAATCACACAAAAATGCTAGATATTAAAGTCACCTTTTACTTATGCTTTTTTTTAAAATGTAAAGTCACCTTTTAAAAAGAAACTTTGCACATACCTCATTTTCCCTCAAATAGTCACCCTGTGATTCCTTTATGTTGTAGAAAAACCTGTTGTTTACAAAGTGCTTTTGTAGACATTTTCTCACCTGGGCATGATGTGTTAAGGCAGGCTAGAGCGCAAATCTTAGCTCACTGTAGCCTCAAACTTGTGGGCTCAAGTGATCCTCCCACCTCAGCCTCCCGAGTAGCTGAGACTACAGGTACACACCAGCATGCCCAGCTAATTTTTTGTAGAGACAAGGTCTCTCTGTGTTACCCAGGCTGGTCTCAAATGATCCACCTGCCTTGGCCTCCCATAGTGCTGGGATTACAGGTGTGAGCCCCTCATTTTCGAAGTGAAGATGCTCCGAGAGGTTGGGTGAGTTGCCCAAGGACACGCAGCTTCCGGCAGCTCGGGCCAGCTTGCTCCTCGTTCTGTGCTTGTTCCCAGCTCCCTGCTACGTTTCATTGCTTAAAACAAAATGGAAAACAGCATATTGCCCTGGGCACTGTTTTTCGGCTAGGTTATACTTGGCTTAGCTTTGCACCTAGGCACCCTTTGAAATGTGATTCTGAGCTAGGAAAAAGGCTATTTTAATACATCCAAATGAGGCTTAGTTGAATTTTCCCTCGTATGTGCCTATGACTAAGAGAACATCATGTCTCAAGTAGCTGTTCCTTTAGTACTCTGGTGTTTGTTTTGCTTTTTGTTTTGGTAAAGTCATGAAGTGAGAATTAATTTCCCTTCTAAATACACTGGAAATGTATAGTAACCATTTAGCAAGGCTACGTTGATTAAAAATTATTTTTAAAAGAAAAAGTATAGACAGCTTCCTGTAGGTTTTGAGTTAGACATAGCTACTATTCCCCAACGTAAAATACTGGAAAACAAAAGCGTGTTCCATAGAAAATATCAGAAGAGCAAAAAATTCTTCCTGCTTCTGTCATGGAAGTGAGACTGCCTCAGGGCTGGGGAGCTCCATACAAGCTACTGCCATGAACACAAACCCGGGAACTCAGAGACAAAGACGGTGCTCCTCCGCCACAGCACTCCAGTCCTCAACACACACCCCACAACAACCGCAGATGTGAAATCACCAAGACGTCTGTGTAGCAGTCATTAAAGAGGGCAACACTGGGCACCGTGGCTCACGCTTGTGGTCCCAGCACTTTGGGAGGCCAAAGTGGGCAGATCACTTGAGGTCAGGAGTTTGAGACCAGCCTGGCCAACATGGCGAAACCCCGTCTCTACTAAAAATACTAAAATTAGATGGGTGTGATGGTGCACATCTGTAATCCCACCTTTTCAGGAGGCTGAGGCCGGAGACTCACTTGAACCTGGGAGGCAGAGTTTGCAGTGAGCCGTGATTGCGCCCCTGCACTCCAGCCTCAAAAAGAAAAGAAAAAAGAAAAGAGGACAACGATGTTTCCTAACAGGATTAGCCTCCTCATAGAGATATTTCCCATCTCCAAAGAGCTCTGAAGTGTTTTAAAACTGGGGGAAAGTTTGTGACCAATTCTGACAAAGTCGAAATCATGAATGATGCCATGCTTAGTAATTACGATTTGACCAGGTTATTTGTTAGGTTTTCCAAAGGCTAGAGTCCTGAACCACAGCATTAAATCAATGGAGTTTCCAGCAAATGAGGGGGAGAATTTTCTCCAGGTTCGGATTCACTTAGACGTCCTCGGGGTCACTGAGCACTAAACTGAGAGTCTGGGTCTCTTGTTTAATTCTTGAGGTCTTTAGAAAAAGGAAAATAATAATAATAAGCAGTTATGTGCCCACTACTATGTGGCAGCTGTAAAGAAAGCCAAGTGGATGAGTCATTGTCCCTTGAATACACCGTTGACATTCCTGCCCCCACACCTTTGCTCATGCCATTCTCCACACCAGACCCTGCACGCCCTTCCCGCTCTGGCCTACTGAGGAAAGCTACACACAAGCCTCATCCCTTCTCACGGAAAGTCTCCTCTTCCTTTCCCAGGTCAGCGCTGCCTCCCCTCTCTGAACTCCTGGAGCCCTTGCTCTCTACCTAACACATTTATAACTTGGCATGTCCTCTCCGGAACAGATCATTATTCTCTTATATCCTATCTTGGGAAACAGGCTGTAAATTCCATCAGTGCAGGCATATCTTTCATCCTTTCCTTTTTTTTTTTAATGTCCCTGATAGCATGCCTCCTACCAAACTGGTTCTCAAAGAAATTCATTAATTGGTTCATGCCTTCATGTAACCAACTGCTGTCATTGTCATCTCTTGGTACCTAGAGGCAGGGCTATATATTAGTTTGGGTTGTTTCTCACCATCTCTAGGTTAAGGTCTCTGTGGGACTGTGGATTTGTGTTGCGACAGTGTGGATTTGAGAGCAAGGTCAGGGAGGAGAACCACAATGTGTACTTTATAACTCCATTTGAAGGTCTGCTCCCTTTTATCTGTGGCTGTTATCCCGACCAGTGGCAAGGACATAGCTAAGAATTATGACGATTCAGGAGGGTTGAGAGTCCTGGCTTAATGGAGTGCCATGCTCAGAAAGAAAATATGGCTTCGGACTGAGGAGGGGTCCCCCTTCTCTCCCACGCCACTGGAAAAGGCACCTGAGAAATTCAGGGCAGAGTCCCCTGTCCTGTTTCTTATCTATGGGGCTTGATTCACCTGCTTCAAGAGGGGAGGGAGGCAAATGGATCCTAGCTGCTGGCACTAAATGAGGCTCTTTCCTTAGAAGAGCTGACAAAGCAGTGAAAAGGGGAGTGGGGGAAGCAGAGACAGCAGAGTGTTATCTAGAAGAGTAAGTGAGGAGAAATACTTCAGCACAAAGGAGATCAGACTGGATATGAAAGTTATCTCGAGAGAGGGAGGGCCATTTTTGCAAGGGAGCTCTTGGAGACGGGATTCAATTGCATGGGAGAAAATATTAGGGAAAAATTTTACCTGACTCTATAGAAAGCTTTGCTGAGTTAAGGGGTAAAGTAATAGATTTCAATTCTGATGACCTAAGGCGTATGCGAAGATTAGGACTTCACAGGGAGACAGCAAGCGTCATAGTGAGGAGTGCAGGCGTGGAGTACAGGGAACTGGATTTAAATCTCAGCTGTGGGTTCCTGGCCAGCTTACCGTCTCTGAGACTCAGTTTCCTCAACTGTAAAACAGGAATGTCTACCACAGAGTACTGCTGAGAGGAGTAAGTGAGGTAATCAGACTGTCAGCGCAGTGAGCCCCTGGAGTGTAAAACATGGTAGTTCCATTCGTATGGAAGGGTAGGATATTTCTTGATCGTTTTTTAGGGAGTTCTGGCATGGGAGTGCCCTGGGGGTACCAAGGAGGGAGACAGACAGAAAGAAATTCCTCATGGAGGGAATGGCCAATGCATTTCTAGAAGCAATCATCTGATGTTGCATTTGAAATTCTTTCCTGCCCCAGGCTATAATAGCTCTGTCTGTTCTCATTAGTTATGTCATCTTCAGAAAAATCTGTTTCATGCAACTGCTCTGTGTTAGTGGCACCCTGCAACAGAAAGGAGAAAGGCTGTGTCTGTGCTCCAGTACCTCCAGAGGGAGGAAAGCACAAGCAGCAAGGATTGAGCAGGAAGGATGCATGAGAGGGAAACGATGACTCCACAATGAACCGCAAAGGCAGGAGGCCTCAGAAGCGAACTGGATTTGGTAACATCCAGGTTACAATCACATAACCGAAACGGGAGAAGAAATCGGGAAATACCGTTCGTTGTTGAACGAATCATCCCGGAGCTGAGAGTTGGTAAGAAGGCTTTCTCAGGCCCTTTGCCTAATGGCAATTAATCCCTTACTGAATAAGTTAGGTGACTCACCTGGAGTAGCTCTAGCACATTCTAATTAGTCTGTACCTGCCCAGTTTACAAGGCCAGTATCATTGAGTGTCAGCAGTCATTCCATGCACTCATACTTCTCCTCTATGTGGCAGGAGGGTTTCCCCAGGTCGCCAGCCTCAGGTCTAGGCAATGAGACAAATTTATAATATCACCACAATGAGTTGGCTCAAAATGGGGAAGGATTTCTAGGATGGCTCACAACTGCTGTTGTGTTGTGTCCAGGGCTGCAGCGACTCTTCCTTGACTGGCTGCTCCAGCACCTACCAATAAAATAATTCACAAAGGCCCTCAGATGACAAACCAGCCACTGTGGCCACTACCCTCACTATTGATTTTCCTCTGGGGAAGAGCCCTTGCACAGACAGGCTCCTTTGCCTGGGGCGGGGGCAGGGCCCACCCTCATATACAGGCAGGAGCAGGGCCTTGCTATCCTCAGGCTCTGACCACATCATGTGGTACTGTTGAGTCACTCTACTCTGCCTGTGATGTCATCTGGAAGGGAAGCTGCTCTGCCAAGTGCAGGAGTGGACTGCTGTCATTCATTCTTTCCTACCTCTTTCAATGAATCCAGTCCACCCTCACACGTGGTTTGAAAGCCTTTGCAGGCCTCTGTCCTAAGTTGTTTTTTTTTTTTTTTGAGTCAAAATCTCACCCTATCTCCCAGGCTGGAGTGCAGTGGTGCAATCTCAGCTCATTGCAACCTCTGCCTCCCGGGTTCAAACAATTCTTCTGCCTCAGCCTCCTGAGTAGCTGGCACTACAGGCGCATGCCAGCATGCCTAGCTAATTTTTGTATTTTTAGTAGAGACAGGGCATCACCATATTGGCCAGGCTGGCCTTGAACTCCTGACCTCGTGATCTGCTCGCCTCAGCCTCCCAAAGTGCTGGGATTACAGGCGTGAGCCAATACACCCAGCCTGTACTAAGTCTTTAGAGTCTCTCCAGACCATCTCCCACTTGCTCACGTTGCTACTCATTAGTCATCCTTAGCTTTCCCATCAGCAGCCTCTGCTTTCCTACTCATCCTCCTCCCTACTGAGTCCACATGTCAGTCTTCACCTTAGGAACTCATTTCTCTGGCTTCAACTCCAGCACCTGTTTGGACAGGGTCCCAGCTTTCCTCCACCTCAAACATCTAGGACTGGACTAAAACCTTTAAAACCTCTAAGCCATGAAATATGCAAACTATACATTTTACATTATAAATTAGAAAATAAACTCCCCCAAACTAAATGATGACCCTTAAATGCTTTCTTAACTGTCAAAAGCTCCTCCTGCCCAAATATTTTGGAGGCCTGATTTGCTGATACTGAAAGCCCATGCTTACGCTGCCCACTGATGAGGGATGCGTTCTCCTCCCTTGCTCCGCGTGACCAGAGGCTCCTGTAAGGACTGACCATCTGGGCTGTCCTGTTCAGCCTTCCTAGTGGAGCGACGGGCAGCCCAGCTTACGGGCTCACCACATACCTTGCCTTACGGGCTCACCACATACCTTGCTTCTAGCTCATTTCATTCCCCCGGCAGACCCACCTCTTCTCCTCCCTCCCATCCACCCAAGACAATGTGACAGTGTGTGCGTCTGTTTGGTCCCGTCAACTCTTTCTCATTGACTTGATTGCTACTCACGCTTTTGCCACAATGAGGACTAAAACACCCGGTGCTAGGCATTGCGCTAGAGGTATGTATTGACTTAACGCTGCCTCTCCAGCCAGGCCCAACCCTCCTACTGATACTAGGGATAGAGAGAGTAATTTGAGCAACAGGCTGAGACAATGGTTCTGAGCCCAAACAAATTACATGGGTCCCCAGAACATCCATCATTTCTCACTACAAATACCTGAATGCCAGCGGAGATGGTTATGAATAATTTATTATGTAATTGATTGACTAAAAGGCCAGGAGAGAAATAGCAGGCATGCCCAGGAGGCTGCTCACTCTCTCCTTCCCTTCCTCCCTCCTTTGTTCTCTGTCTCCCTCTCCCCCACCTTCTCTTCCTTTTTTTTAAATCAAAGTGAATTCAAACATGGGCCTGCTTTTTATGCATAACTCAAAATCCCGGTCTCATGACCTTATTCTCTGTGGCACAACCCTCCCTAAACGCCTTCCCGCACCTTCCTTTGAACCACATGGAAAAGTCGCCCCACTTATGGCCCTGTCTTGACTTTTGAGTAATTGCCATTGCAGACAGTTTTCTCATAATAGTTTGGAGAGGATTTACCGATTTCTACCCAAGAAGAGAGATTTTGATTGCATCGCAACAAAGGTGGTCCTCAGATGGACTATGGGCGTGGACCGGAGCGGGGAGGGTGTGCTTTCTAGGGCTGCTGTAACAAAGAACCACAGACTCTGTGGCTTAAAACAACACACATTTTTCGTCTTACAGTTCCAGTGACTCTAAGTCCAAAACCAAGGTGTTGGCAACGCCATGCTCCCGATGAAACACGAAGGAGAGAATGCTTCTTTGCCTCTTCTGGCTCCTGGCGGTTCCCCGCAGTCCTTAGCGTTCCTTGGCCTGCAGTGGCAACACTCCAGCCTCTGCCTGCACCGTCACATGGTGTTCTCTCTGTGTGTCTCTATTCACATGCCCATCTTCTTAGGGCTCACTATAATCCAATATGAACATCTTTTTTTTTTTTTTTTTTTGAGACCGAGTTTCTCTCTTGTTACCCAAGCTGGAGTGCAATCGAGCAATCTCGGCTCACCGCAACTTCCGCCTACTGGGTTCAAGCAGTTCTGCCTCAGCCTCCCAATTAGCTGGGATTACAGGCATGCACCACTGTGCCCAGCTAATTTTGTACTTTTTTAGTAGAGATATGATTTCTCTATGTCAGTTAGGCTGGTCTCAAACTCCGGACCTCAGGTGAGCTGCCCACCTCAGCCTCCCAAAGTGCTGGGATTACAAGCATGAGCCACCACGCCTGGCCAGCCTCATCTTAATTAATTACATCTGCCATAACCTTATTTCTAAATAAGGTCACATTCTCAGGTACAGGGATTAGGACTTCAACATATATTTTTTTTCAGGGGGAACAAAATCCAACCCATACAAGAAACATGCCTATTCCGAGAATGGCCAGTAGTTCCGATTGGCTGGAAATGGGTATGACTAGCGTGTGGTGGGAGATGAAAACAATCTAGCAACTAAAATCATCGGAAAGCGAAGCTGTGGACTTACTAGCTTAGTTTAATGTAGCGAAGGTCTCTGCATCTCTCATTCCAGTCCAGTAGCTTACAACTTTTTGCCAGTCAAAAGAAAGACAGAGAACTACAACGCAGGTGAGCCAATAATATCTTCTTTATCTGTCATTCATTCGTGTATTTATTCAGTAATATTTCTTGAGCACCATGTGCCAGGAACCCCAGGCAAAGGATTCAGTGGCAAACATGAATGACATGACTTCTGCTGTCCTATAAAAACGGCTCAAAGTGTGGTTGACTCGTCATTAGTCATGACCTTCCTTATCGACACGTAACAATGTCTGAAGGAATTCCAAAGTAGACGAATTAAAAATAGACTGTGGCAAAGTTGTGAAAAAAAACAGGAAATCATTTTAAAAGCAGAAAATAAGTAGATGTATCCCCAGGCAAATGACAAGCCTGTGCAAAGCTCCTTCTATGTCAAAGCCAGTGTCCTTTATGGTATCAGATAACTAACTCCTCCACATTGCTAAGGCACGCTGTCATTCCCATCATTCCCGTAATGCAAATAGAAAACCCTCAAGTAACCCTGCTGGAAGGTAACAATGGAACACATTGCCCAGTCCTCAACCAGTAGCTGAACATCAAGGGACATGGTGGGAAATATGTAAGTCCTTCTCCCATGCATGAGGGATAAGTGACCGTGCCTGGACAAGCACAGTGGATTAGAAGCAAGCCTTCAACTCAAATCTGGTCAGCACACTGCTTGATAAATTGCAAAATGTCTCATGTTTCCATGGAAAACAGCACTACTCACCTGCGGCTCAGTGTCATGATAAACTATCACTAGTCTCTGAATTGGGCTATATTTGCAGAAATTGTGCTGTAGTCCTTGAAAACACCACATGGAATTACCTTTCAGAGTAATAATGTGCATGAGGTATCTCACCTTTTATCATTCAGCAAGTGATCCTATCCTGGCAGGGAGTTTTCCATTAAATAATATTATATGTTTTCACAAAAAGTAGGGAAGAAGGAAGGGAAAAGAAAAAGAACGTCCCTAATGACATTCACAAATAATCTGGCTTTCTTCTCTTCCCAGGAATGTAGCAGCACTGCATGTCACTACCCTCTTTGAAGTTAGGTTTGACCATGTGACTCACTTTGGCTGATGAAATGTGTGCCGAAGTGACCTAAGTCCTTTCTGAGTGAAAGCTTTAAGAGCCACGATTTGGCTGGGCATGGTGGCTCATGCCTGTAATCCCAGCAGTTTGGGAGGCCGAGGTGGGCGGATCACCTGAAGTCAGGAGTTTGAGATCAGCCTGGCGAATAGGGTGAAACCCCATCTCTACTAAAAATACAAAAGTTAACTGGGGGTGGTGGCACATGCCTGTAATCCCAGCTACTTGGGAGGCTGAGGCAGGAGAATAGCTTGAACCCAGGAGGTGGAGGTTGCAGTGAGCAGAGATGGCGCCACTCCACTCCAGCCTGGGCAACAGAGTGAGGATCTGTCTCAAAAAAAAAAAAAAAAAGAGCCACGGTTTGCTACATTCTCCTTTCCTGCTGCCTTCAAGACTGTGGAAGCAGGTGTCAAGATGGGTCTTGTCAGCATGCGTCCCTGAGTGATGCTGATGGGCAGAGCAACAGAATGCGAGCAAAAATAAAAGATTTGTGGGGTTAAGCAACTGAAGTTTGGGGTTTGTTGTTGTTATTGTTGTTGTTACTGCCACATAACCTGTCCTGTCCTGACTAAAATTGACAGTGAATTCTGCATGTTAACTCCTGTGGACCAACTAACCCACCTTTTCCATGTTAATGAGACAGAGTTCTCAGATGGATGAAAGGGGCTTCCCAGAGCAGATTCTCCTGGGTATTCACCTGCCAGGGCAGATCTGTCAGAAAGGCCAAGGTTGGGCTCTAGAGAGGCTATATAGGTTTTAGTAGGAAGTACCAGAACACATTTATTTTAACTACTCAGTTCCAATAGATGCATTGGATAACTATGAAATACTTTGATATGATAAAGGTTAATGCAATTTCCTTCTAGCCAATACTGATAAAGTCCCAAGAATATTATGAAGAGCAAAGGGATAAAGGAAGAAGGAAGGAGAACAAGTCAGCTGAATGCCGTTTTAATAGATGGACTGTAGGCATCAAATTAAATTAGTGTCAAAGTCATCCAATTCTCCTGTTCTTCCTGTTCTCAATTCTTTTAACCAAGCCAAAATTCTACTCTAACACTTCACCAATCACTTACATA